CCCCCCCCCCCCCCGCCCCTTCTAACACCCCCCCCCCCCCCTCTCTCACACATCCATCTCCACACACACACACACACACACACACACACACACATACACCCCAGGGCTCTGTAGCTGCAACAGCTCTTCTGGGCCGCCTTGCCCGGGAGCCGGCTTCCAACAGCCCCCACTGCTTAGCAACAGCCAATCGGCCAAGCCGGGCAACTTGTTAGCCAATTGCAAGGGAAAGATTGGGTCAATGCTCAGAATTCGAGTTGGCCACATGGGTCTGGTTACAGTAAGGTAAAAGGTGGAGTGAAGACATTCTATTTTTAAACTTTACGGTGCTCTGCTTTCCGAAGCTGGGGGAGATGTTGTGTGGTTTATTAATAGACACTGTCCCTAAAATAACAGGTCACAATGAGGATGATTGATCTACCTATCAAGACTTGATAGAGTCATCTGAACTGGGTTCTTCACGGTTAGGGTTTGTTGTTGATTTATTCATGCAGATTTTGGATTTGTATGACAATAAGAACAGAATATTGATTTATTTTCCCCTTTATCAATCATTTAAGGACGTTTCTTGAGTTGGTTACCACTTTCTCGTCTTGATGTGTTTATCTTTGGTGACACCATCTAATGACATTGAGTGGTCTGGTCGTGGCGATGCGCAGCAGCAGAAGTCACAATCAGAAGCGATGCCGGTTTTAAACACGATTATCAGTTGGAAGGGAATTTATTAGGTCAGTGGTTATTTTGGTACGTCGGCAGGACCCGTCTCTTGCAGCACTGCAGTATGGGTGGGGCAGAGGCAGAAAGGTGTGAGTCTCCGAGAGAAAGGAGAGAGAGAAGGGAGTGTTTAAAAACACAGTGGGCTGAGGGTTAGTAGGACCATGCTGTCTTGTTTTCACTCTCACCGTCTCATCACTGCTTAGCAACAACCAGTCATATCCGCGGCTCGGAGCGGACTCGTGGCCAATCAGCAGGCGGGAGCGTGGCGCCACAGAGTTTGGATTTTACCACGTGCGACAGGAGGAGAGAGAGTGATGGCAACACTTTCACATGGTGTGTGTGTGTGTGTGTGTAGGAAGAGAGATTTTTTTTTTTTTTTCAGGCTGGAAGTGCAGCAACTTTTTCTTCAAACCACACCCTTTGCTCTCTGCTGCACTGCCACCGATGGATACAAGGTCGACGTTTCAAAGCAGATCGCTGTCAGTTATTCTACTGCTGAAGTCAACACTATGAATACTAGATACTGATCCATTTTGTTTAGGTTTATGGAGCATTAAAATGGGGGTTTTGCCTTTGCATGGACCAGTATGAGAATCCCACAATTCCCCTGCTACTGACAAGTGTTAACCTTGAGTAAAGTTATTTATTTCATTTTCTCATTCAAGATTTTTAAATAAAAACAGTTATCATGATATGATTGCTTTTTTGTGACAGAAAAGGTTGTTTTTTTATTGTTTATGTACAGCATGTTGATTTTTGCAATGTAATAGAGTAATATTAATGTTGTTTGAGTTTAATTTAAACAAATGGCACTAAATTGAGTTGCGGTTTCTATGTATTGTGCAAAATATACCTCTATTCTGCTGGTATTTTAATTAGAGATAGGTGGCAATCTTTTAGTTTTCCCACCATGACCTGAAATCTGTCCAAACAGCCAAACTTTTTTTGTGGTAAGGAACAGGAGGATGCATTCCTCTTTTAGCAACAGGTGTAGGAGGGGCAAAGCTGTGTTACTTTTATATATTAGGACTATTATTCCTCTTATCAATAAGTCTTTAAACCATAGGAATTGAATTGGAAAAAATGTTGGCTTTTTTTTTAACAGTAACTGTTTCCATTCAATTGTCATGCAAAGTTTGAGCGAACGTTTAAATTTAAAATGGGAGTTAAGCATGTTTCCAGCTAACGGTCAGGCTATTGCCAAGCTAAATTTTATCAGATGTGTACTCTACGCAATAAATAAAGAAGATGTAGAGGTTGCAAACTTGCATGTCGCACACCCAACAGAAAATGGAGAGCGTACTCCCCCTAACCCTGGAGGTTTGGGCTTGGGACGTTTTTTTCTTAGTTCAGTGTCTCTGGTAAGGCACAGACCCACCAGTGGCTGGGCCCATTCACTTTGTCAGTACTCAGCACTTTGAGTCTTTTTTGTAAAAGTCGAGAGTCACCTCAAGCAATTGTAAAAGCTTTTTTCTGTGAAATTGAGGAAATTAATTTGAATTTTTCCATTTTCATCAACTTTTTCGAGTGCGATACTTCAAATAGCACGTTAAAAAAGCATTAATGGAAACATGGCTATACTGTCATTTTCTACAGCATGGGTGAGCTAACGGTATCAAGGTACACCAAGGTTTTAAAAAAGTTACATCTTCATATTTCCATTGCTTTGTGGAGGGTAGAATAAAAATACTGCTACTTCAGCTCAGTTGGGCGCTTTGGGATATTATGTTGAGAACAACACAGAGAGTAGTATAGTGAGAAGAAAGGGTGGTGCCGCAGTGCCTCACTGTAACAATCTTACACTAGTTAGCCGATGTCTAATCAAAGTATTACAGTTTTATAAATTAATTTAACTATCATGGCGTTCGTTAAGCCATTTTGGCTCGCCCTGATGACAAGTGCGCACTTTGCCGCAGCAGCTGGCGATGTTGGTGGCGCTGGGTGCGGCCAGCTCTGAGCTGCATCCACAACTTGCTCTCCACGTGCTCCCCACGCTCTCGTATTTTCATCCTGCCTCTCAGCGGCTGCATGCTAGGCTGAGCGGCAGCTGCGCGGCGGCACCGCTCCGCGCGCGGGCTGCTTCCTGTTGCATGGTTACAGGCAATCCTGCTCTGCTGTTGGCTCGGACGCCGCAGAGGCGCTCGTTCATTGGACAGCCAAGAAGGGAAAAACGTGTTTCCATTGGCCGCCGAGGAGAGCGCGCAGGCTTTCGGGATTGGCCCGGCTCGGAAGCTCGCGCTCCTTGGAGACTGGCTCTGTAAACATCCTGGTTTGTTTCTGTCAATGGAGAGAGTGTTTACCAGGCGCCGAGTTTTGCCGGTGTGTGCAGACTGAGGCTGAGCGTCTCTGAGGAGCGGAGTCTGGTGAGAGCGAGGCTAATTGGCTCTCCGCTCCGCCGTGCGCTTTGTGATTTTCTTTCTTTCTTTCTTTTTTTGAAGAGCGCTCTGCACCATTTATGACATTTTGACAGCATTACAGACGAGCACGCGCACAGCCCACAGTCTGTTGGCAGCCTCCCCCTTTTTCAGTCTTTATTTTCCATTCAGATGTCTTCTTCAGTATCTCTGTTTCTGTCACGGTCGGCAGCAGCAACCCCACAGGCTGCATGTTATCCCTTTGGAGCCGAGCAGAGCTGAGGCGTCTCGGGGCCCCAATGTGGTAAATAAAATCGCCTCCAGTGCTAAATGATGCAGCGGGGCTCTTTGTTTTCTTTTAGTACTATTTTGACTTCACTTCTTCTCTCTCTGCGCAGATACATAACTGTTATACTAGAGCATGGACACTCACCCTGGCACACACACACACACAACCCTTCATCCTTTATTTGATGTATCAAGAGCTCACAAAAGCCTTTGATCGCACCCTGAGAATGAAATCTTTTTATCTCTGGAGATGAACTCGGTGATCTCGGTGACTTTTAGATCACTTTAACATTCATAGTGCAACTTGCCAGGGCGGACGGGGACGGGCGGGGGGCTGGCCGAGCGAAGGCCGCGGAAAGCTTCCACCCTCTCAGCGAGCCGACTGCTTAGCAACAACCAATCAGCCTAATATTTTTGGCAGGGTATCGCAGCCAATTGAGAGGGCGAGAGCAGACTTTAGAGCTGTGTTTTTATTGGTGGCTGCGAGGAAAAACAATGTTTTTCTTAGCGCTCTACACTTGAGTGCTGGCAGTGAGGCTGGTGATGCTCACAGCAGACTCTGAGAGATAATCTCAGCTTTAGAAGGCGTTACTAAACACATAATCCATTATTGTTTAGTGATACAATTTGCATCTGTGTACGCACTTGTAGCTCCACTTGAGTTCTAATGGGCTGTTGTGTGAGTAAAAGCAGTCTTTCCCTATTAGAAATAATCTACATTACTTTTGTCTGAGGGAATAGGTAATTTTATTAAACTGTTATAGTCAGAGATGCACCAATCTATCCCCTGGAGGTTGGAATTGGCCGATTTTTCTCGATCAGCTGGGATTTATTTTTGGTCGCTCAAACTCTCAAAAATTTGATTCCCCATGGGTAACCAGCTCTGTTTTGCTAATAGTTAGCTTTTTCAAAACTAACGCCAGCCTATCTGGTCTAATGGACCGCAGAGGAAGTAGACAATCCAATGGGCGACCAGCCTTGGTATGCTACTCGTTAGCCTCTCTGAAGCTAACGCAAGTGAGTAGTCTCCTCCGTTGCCGGGGCTGACCTGTCATTAATCAGGCCAGAGTCTTGCTACGGAAAGGATGGAGCCGCCACTCTGTGTGCAGTAGTTAAAATTTTGGCCCTAATCCTGCTCCATAGTTTCACTCAGGAAGGTTATCAATGCCACACTTTCTCCAACCTCAATTTCCTGTGTAAATAATAACCGGTTTCTGAGTAAATAATCACACCTGTTTACAAAAGTATTGACGGTGTTCAAGTTCATAAAATGGTGTTCTCGTGAACATGTATATGTTTTTAAGATTGGAATTGTAAAAGTTTACTTTGCTCTTGGTGCCTTTTGGACTAGCGTTAGCATCTAAGATCATCTAATCCAGATGTAAGCTTAATGAAGACTCAAAAAGTGTCATCTACTGTAAACACTTCACAGAACTTCATCTCATGGAAGCTTAACCTTTCCCTTTAAAGGCTTAGTATCCAAGGGGAACAGGTGTGACCATAACATTGGTAAGCTACCTCAACAGTAAGTGAAGCCTCAGCAGCACTCGCTGTGGCCTCCCTGGTTAAATAAAGCTAAGAGCTCATCGACAGCATCCCCTTCTTCAACAGATAAAATCAATAAGCAGGAAGTGGCCACGGGCAACGCTCTGGACATGACTGACAAGCAATGCGGCAGAAACCCCAACAGTTTGGTGAGGGGTGGGGTTGGATGTCTCAATTCATCCAAGTCTTCCTGCTACGAGAGGGAAAAAGAAAAGGAAGCGCCGTTAGCAGATATTGCTGTGTGAGCACATAAACAGCAATGAAAGCCATTAGTAGAATTTGCACTCGGTACTAAAAGCCTTCATCTGTATAACTATTAGGTAGAGCAGGGGAATTAATTGGATGAGGGGGGAAAAAAGGGAAAAAATCCATCACCTCATTACTTCTTAAAATCTTTCCTCAAGGGTGAGGGGATCTCGTGCTGTTGGAAATTCTCAGCCCATATATCATGCAAAGTAAATACTTCCACCCCCTGTGTCCTATTTCCCCCAATTCTCAGTTGTGGCTGCTTGCTGTCAGCCAGCACTGCCTCTGAATGAAAAATGAATTCATTGAGTGTTAGGAGGGCTTTTGTTCTCTCAACCAACCAACCAACAACAAGAATTATTTTAGGTTCTGGAGGCTGTGGTTATATATTTAACGCCACTGAGGTTTCACTTTCTATTCTTCACGCAGTTGGTTTCAGCACCAGCTCATGGCTGGTAACTCACCTGGATCCTGTTTGTAGCGATTGGACCACCAAAGCTCTGCATCCCACTTCCTGTGTTTAATAATTTCTTTTTTGGTTAGGTTAATTTTAGGTTTGGGGTATTTTTTTAATACTTGAAATCACGTTTGATTACAGGACATTCTGTCAAAAGAACACATGCCAATGGATCCAAATGTATGTCAACTATTTTTCTTGATAAAGTTTTCTTAAGTAGTGTCTGGTTACTGCCAGACTAGGCAAGCTAGTTGTTAGCCTCTCCAAAGCTAACGCATCCATGACCATAGTTTTGAGCCGGAAAATAGTTCTTTCTCCAAGTCAAGGACAAGGTACTGGTCCAAGTGGAGGAGTTTAAGGATGTTTTCACACCTAATAGTCCGGTAGACTTGGGTTGACTGGGGACCAGAGTTGTAACATTTGTTGTATTTTCAGGTGCTGTGGTTCATTTTCACGCTGCCCTGAGTCAAGCAAGCCAAACTATTTGAAAAACTTGTTTGCCTGCTCACCTGTGGTATTGCTGCACCAATAACCACTGAAGGAAATTCCACAAAAACCTCTGAAGACACTGAATGCAACTTCCTTCTTTATGAAATGTAAACAAAAATGGAGAGTCGTCACATTTTAGTGGTTTAAAGTTGTAGGCCAGATACCTTCTCCTTCTAGCGCTAGACCTACACATTTGTTTTGGTTGTATTTTGGCTTGCACTATAGTCCACTTCCATTTGTCTTCAGACAGCACCAGAATTCATTTCAAGGTTTTTAGACAGAACAAGAGTTCAATTGCGCATTCACACCTCCCAAAGTGAACCGGAATTTCTAGTGGAGTGAACTGGAGTTCAATTAAAACAGTCTAAACGGGGCTGGTCTGACTGCACCCTAAGTATAAATAAATATCAATAAATCAATAAAATATTTTAGAATTTTAATTTGTATCTTGGGGTCTTGTTCGTGAATGAGGAAAACATGGAATTTGTATTAATCCATCCATCCTTCGATAAAGATGTACAATTTACCTGTCTGTTCCTCCCTCCATCTATCCGTTTGTCTCTCTTTTGTTCCCTCTTACACTCTGAGGTTCCATACTTAAAACTTGACCACTGGACATTACACATTGAAAAAAATTGATAAATAGAAACGAGAAGTTTGAGAAAGTTAGAAATTCTAACTGGAAATACATGAAGAAACCATGTAAAACAGTAAGAGCCCTAACAAGAAGTAAATAACAGGGATGTTATTGTTCTACTTTGCTTCGTCAAGTTCAGCTCTTCTCCTCACGGAGCGAATCAGCCATGTTTCCATTCTCCGAGCACATCTGTGGTCCTGATCTCTCCTGGCTGCCGTCAGGTGACTGTGTGTCATGTTTTAATAATCCTCTTTCATCAATATGCCACCCTAACCACCTGACGCAGCGGGGGGGTTCTTGGCACAGGTGTTGCGGTCGGAGCTTCTGATGAAGGTCACTCTGATTTTCAAACAAAAACAGGACTCAAGAGGGAAGGAGACATCTGCAGCGCTGCTGCAGCGCTCCTCGTCATTCATTGGTTAAACCCAACCAGGGCAAACCCTGGAGGACAGATCTGCTTCTAACGGTGTCGCCTCATGTGTTTGGAATTCACTAAACTTTATTTTGACGTCTGCGTGTTGCGTCCGCAGGTCACTCGTGATCATCAGCACCCTGGACGGGCGGATCTCGGCGCTGGATCCTCACAACCAGGGCAGGAAGCAGTGGGACCTGGACGTGGGCTCAGGGTGCCTGGTGTCCTCCAGCCTCAGCAAACCTGAGGTACAATCAGCCTGATATCCCTTCGTTGAAACCAAAAACCAGCTTGAAGTGTGGATTCCCATCATTTATGTCAATCACAAAGGCCTCGGTAGCAGCGTTTCTGTTGACTTTATAATTTGCCAAGTTGAATTTCCAAGATAAATTTGCTTAATGGAAACCATTTTGAAAAAACTGACATTTTTTATTTCAAAAATTTTGCCACTATGATGAGGTGTTTTTTTTTTTTTTTTCCAGCCATATTTAAATTGGTTTTTTTTGCAAACATTCAATGGAAACACTTTTGTCGCATTACGTGATCAACAGCTGGATGTTGCCACTGGTGCAAACCACAGAGAAGAAGACAGGAAGTAGTTGGAGGATCATGGCTAGCATGTTCTTTTAGTGACTTATTGCGTCAACAAGCTTATTCACATGTGATTTTAATAGTTTTTTATTTATTTAATGAAAACACTGCAATTGTGAAATTGTGTTTTCTTGGCATAAACACAGCTTGTAATTGTATTGAAATAGTGAACAGCATTAAGTTGGTTTACGCTGCCCTGCCTTGTTTAAGGATTCATACATCTAAAACTTTTCCACGTTTCGTCCTGTTGGAAAAAAGAGGGTTGCTTGATTTTTGACTAAATTTGCAGCGCAAGTATTTTGGGTCAATATTAAAATCAATGATTTAAAGCAGCACATTTTTTTGTATGGAAATTTGAAAAGTAATTATTTTGAACTTTTACACTAAAAGCTTAAAAATAATTAAATATCTTGTATAAAATTAAAATAATACATTTTTAAACCAAATAAAATACATTGAGGATTAGGGGTTAAGTAATGTTATAAATGTTGAAAAGTGCATACAGAATGAGCCTTTTGTGCTACAGTTGAAAAAAAAAAAAAACTTTCTTGAAGAGGGAATATATTGTTAGACTGATGCATGTTATGTGGGAGTTAAAGGAGCATTCTGCCTGTTTTCTTTCCCTCTCGCTGTCTGTAGACATTTAGACCAATATTTGAACTCGGTGCACTTTGAGCATCCAGCCAGGGGGGAGCTGCTGCTATCATGTACTCCTCATTGCACAAACCCCAGACATGCACTTGAATCGCAGAGCAGCTGATTTGCCTGGAGGATGCGCCTGTTTTGTTGACTGCAGCGGGTTCTTGCGTGTATGAGCGTGGCAAACCCCTCGCCTCTACATGTGTACAGAAGCTTAAACCTCCCACACTGACACGCCGAACGCCTTGGAGCGAGAAAACGCAGCTGCACGCAGAGAAACACGCTTTGATGTGGACCCGCTCCGTCTCTGCGCTGTAGCTCCAGGGGAAAAGGCCTCTAATATTAACCAGGGTCGGGTCTGAGCGCCAGCCTGCCGCTACTGGGTGGGAGTGTTTGGGTCTCATTAGTGCGGCAGCACCATTCAACCTCAGCGTATCGATCAGGTTCTCCGTGTTTAACTGCTGCTTGTTTTGTTGTTGTTTTTTTCAAAAGGCCTGACTGATACTGATGATGTTTAGACTGAGAAGTCAGACTGGAAAAATATGGTACAGAAAAAAAATCAAAGTATAGAACAATATTTGTTTTTCTTTCACACTTTTATCCCGTTGTCTTAGTTTGCTCCTTTCTTCTTTATATTTTTCCTTTCTTTCTTAAAACCTTTTAGTTTTTTTGTTGTTTCCTACTATCCTCACTTTCTCTCATCTTTGTTTCCTTTTGTCTTTCATTCTTTAGTTTTCTTTATTTCTAGTTCTCTATTTCTTCCTTTCTCTGTTTTTATTTCTTCCTTCCTCTTTGTTTCTGTGTTTTGCTTTCTATGATTTGCTTTCCTTTTTTCTTTTTCTCTGTTTTTCTTCCTGTCTTTCTTTCTTTCTTGGCTTCTCTTTTTCTTTTTTGTTTCTTTGTTTCTGTTTTACTTTGTTAGTTTTTCTTTCTCCATTTCTCCCTCTTTGTTTCTTTTGCATCATAATGTTTAATTGTGATCTAATTAAACATTGCAATGAACAATTGCAATGAAAGTACTGATAATGATTAACTGAACTAAATTTGACCTAATATCTCTTACTTTTCACCTTTTATCCTATCTGACCTGAAAGATGAAGACAGCTTTGATCTTTGATTTTCTTTGGAAAATGGACTATCACTAATTAATAATTAACCAGTTCATTTTCTTTTTAAAATGGACTGGTTAGTTATTAGTTAGCCACCATGCATCAGTTATTACCTCCTGATGTATAGAACTACTTATTAATATACCATAGTCATTTACATCAATAAGATCATTTTCCCTTAGTGAACAGGGCACCAAAACCGGCTCCAGCCCAGGGGCCCACATCCCTGTGAATCCGGCCCTGGCTGTTGGCAGGCCGGCTGAACAGAGATGCCCCTCTAGTTCGCTGTGTGTGTGTGTGTGTGTGTGTGTGTGTGTGTGTGTGTGTGTGTGTGTGTGTGTGTGTGTGTGTGTGTGTGTGTGTGTGTGTGTGTGTGTTGTGCTTTATGTAAGTTTAAAACCTGTCTTGCCCTCTGTGGCCTCTGTAACCTGGGATGCCCGTCTGCTCTGTGTGCTTGGCTCCCTTTAATGTGTGTGTGCGCGCGTGTGTTTGGTGGTGTTGGTGGTCGGGGGGGGGGGGTAGCTTTGCCTCTGGCTCTTTCCTCCCCCTCCCCTCACCTCCCTCTCCACCCGCTTCCTGCTGGGAGCTTAGCAACAGTTTGATTGGTGCTCACAGGATCCCGAGACACCAGTCTGCTCAGTGATGGGAGGCTGGAGGGGGGTCCGCCGCCGCGCTATTGGCTAGCCTCGACACGCCGGGGCGGAAGCAGCCAGTCGCCTGCTCCGTCCCGCATTGTATGTCACTTCTTCTTTTTCTTTTTTTTTTTTCATTATTTCTTGCAGTAAAACGTGGGACAACAGAAGCACAAACCGCATTGTCTGCAGAAAAAAAAACACAAAAAAAACAAGCCATCACTTGAGCAAAACAGGAGAAGCTCCGGAGGCGTTGGAGGGGGGTTGAAGTGCGCGCGTGCGTGCGTTCGGAGGGGAGTGACTCATCCTGCATGGGCGGGGCTTAGAGGACGAACTTGGTGTGTGTTTTGTTGAGGGGAGGTGAGGTAATGCCTTTCAACCAGAGATGATGTCATCAAATAATAGACAGCACGCGCTTGCTTTCTATACATCTGCTGGCATGCAGTGAGACGGAATGAACCTGATTGATCGCCACACACTGACGAACGCCTGATTAGCTCTCTGCTCTTAATGGGAAAAGCAATAATTCTCCCAACTCAGTGAGGGAGATGCAAACTGCTGCTTCAGCAGTATTTATATTTATTTGTTTTTGTTAGAAAGCCGGCCGCTTGGTCCCTGAAATAGAGTCGGAGCTGCGTATTGAGATGAAACTGTTTGACAGGATCGCTGGAGCGTCAGCAACAACACAAACAGTAGTTATTCCCCCTGAATCCCTCCCCCCCCCTCTCTCTCTCTAAAGGCACCCCACTCTCATGTTCCCCCCAGGGGTGGGACATGATTACACGACGTGTTACATTAAATAACCATCCATCTCATTTCGAGGAATACTTCCATAGCAAATTGTATGTGTGAATAAAATATTTTTTCTCACAGTGCAAGAAATGTCAGTCAGACTTTGTGGCGTGATAAAAATCACGCTCTGATTTTTATCTCTCTCTTTTTTTCTTTTTTTTTTAGCCCACCAAGATTTCTCTTGAGGACAAGCGGTCCTAAATTAGAATCTGCATTCTGACGAGGCTTGTTTGTCAGAAAATAAAAGAATAACTTTCATTGGTCTGATGTAATATTCTAATTTTAAATGTTTGTGTTGTAGTGTAGTGGAAATGAAGGCTTGGGAACATAAATTGATCTATATTATAAGTGTTACTTAGAAAACTGAGTTACTGGACATATTTTCAAATTTATTTATATTTATTGATCCTCTCAAAACTAACAATCCCAACAATACAGACAGTTTTAAACGTCATTAATCGTAATTTATCATGATAACGATACTTCAGAATTGTTATAAGAAATTTATCACGATAAATGATAAATGATGCGATAAATCTCCACCCCTATTTTAAACTTAACTCATCAATCGGCGCGTCTAAAAATTGCGTGAGCACATTTTTTGACTGGGAACGTTGTGAAGCTCACACACACACGGGTCAGGTCTCAGATTAATAACACACACTACACATTCAGAGCTATTTAAAGATTAATAGGACCATTAAAATCCACAGGGAGAAGGAGGGAGTGTTGATGCTGAGAAGTCTGGGTGGGGGGCTTAATCTTTTAAATTATTCTTTTTATCTGTTTTTAATATTTTATTCTTCTTCAAATGAAAACCCCAACTGTAGGCACGACTGAGTATCGTTTTTAGAACGTGACAAAAAGCTTAATCCTTCCCAAATATTATGTGTACGCAGATGAAGACAAGCAGACTGTGGTGTGGCTGATCACAGATGAATTATTAACCAGAAAGAATTTCTTTTTATTAGCTTGAAGCGACAGACAGAGCCACTGAGGGCTGTTATATAATATAATGGGGTTTTTTTTTTAACCCATTTAAAATATTTATTTTTTATTTTTTATGCAGCAACACTTCCACACTTTTTTTTTAATTGAAAATAGACATTACAAGACATAAAGCGCTAACTTCCAATGCATCCCATCAGATGACTCTCTCGGCTTTGCGTCTTGCTGATCCAGACTTTATATGCGGGACGATCCAGTCGAACAGCCAGCGCAGATCTCCGCTGAGCAGAGCGTTTCCCTTCAGGAGATTACGCGGCTGAGAGCAGGCTAACGGGTGTCAGAACGCCGGGCCAGATCAGACGGGTGGATTAAGGCATCAGGAGCAGCATGACTCACCCACTGCTCTGAGAATTTCCCTTTTTTCCTGCCTGGTAGCCATACACACACAGAGGGAATCGGCTCAGGCTGCTAACCTAAACCACCCAGCGTGTGTGTAAGGATGACATCACTCCGTGTTCAAAAATGACACTTTTTCAATCTTAAAAGCAACAGTCTGACTTGTTTACAGCACCAAACGTTCAAGACCGTAAAAAGCTAGCCCTCCAGAGAAAGTGATTGTTGAGTTGCTGTCTTTTTGTCTGAGCTGATCTGAAGAGTTTTAATCAGGATTAGGGTCAGGAGTTTTTCAATGATGTCATCCTCAACCACCCCCCCTCCCTTACCATGAACACCTCATGCAAACACCCGAGTCTCGCACTGTTTTGTACAGATCCAACCTAATTACCTAATCTCATAGTTGTGTAATGGTTCCAGATCTGTGGATTGAGTCCAAGTGTGTGTGGGCCGGTGAGACGGCCATGTGGGCGGCTGTGTGTGTCGGGTGCTGTTGTCTGTGTGGACGAGCGTTTCAGTGGATGACGTAAGGAATAGTTTTTTCAGTACAAAATTAAAATACACCAGGGCATACATGTTAAAAATCTGTGAAAGTTAAAGGATAAAATTAATACACAATTACGTTTGTTTGCAGATGATGTTGTGAAATATTTAACAGGTTACTTTCTGTTTATAGGGTAACATTATCACAGCTTTTTGAATGTTGAATAAACTTTTTCTTTTTTTATTTGTATTTGAAGAAAATAACATGGAAAAAAAATCAATTGCTATTTAAAAATGTAACTAATAATTTACGCTTGTGGAAATATATATTAAAAAAAAACTTGCATTTTTTTTCACAGTGCAGTTATTATTACAGTGGATTATGCATTACTGTTGGAAGAAAATGTTTTGTATCCCTTACTATTCATGTAAATACCACTGACGTATGTCTAAGAGCTAGGGATAGACAATAAAGCAATAACAATATATACTGCTAAAAAAAATAAAGCGAACATTTCACTTTAATTTTGTGTGTGGCTCCAAATCCAGGCCTCCATTGGTTAATAAATTTGATTTCCATTGATGATTTTTGTGTGATTTTGTTGTCAGCACATTCAACTTTGTACAGAACAAAGTATTCAATGAGAATATCTCATTCATTCAGATCTAGGATGTGTTATTTGAGTGTTCCCTTTATTTTTTTTAGCAGTGTATATTGCAATAGGTACACAGTCAGTATCAAGAGATAATAAATATTCCATAATTGCATTGAACTCTGATCTAGAACCACACAGCACTCTGGGGAATGTAGGCATCCGATCCTCTCATGCCTTAGCTGGCCATGAGAGGATCGGATGGCATCAACTAACTCACTCATTCTTTGGTTACCTAGCAACAACCTGTTGAGTAACTAGAGCAGCCGCACTTTCAGGTTGACTCATAACTGCTTTAAAAAAAAAATCAATGATTATCAATATCAGCTGAGATATCGTGATACGTTTTTCAGCCATATTGTCCAGCCCTGATAAGAATTATCATGTTATCATGGTACAAAAACCACAAGTAAATATCGCTATGGTTACACCATAGCACTGTATTTCTACATAAATATACCACCAATCTAGTTGCTTTTAGCTTGTCATTACCACTTCTAGTTTGCTATGGCTTGTTTTTAAAACAAGATTAGTGTAACAAGACTGGTGACAGTTCCTATAGCATGACTGTATTTGTCTTTGAGGTCAGAAATGTATCTGAACAGTTGAATTTGTCTTTATGTAATCAAGTTGTAGTTAATGCCTCGTTCACACGGCAAGATTTTTATGCCGATTTTTTTTTTTCCCCCCTTCCGACAATCACAGTTTATATGCAACAATTTTTTTCTTTCGTCAGCTTGACAGTAAAAGAGTAGAAAACAACAAAAAGACTCATCTGTATCCCATTTGTATTCTGGCCACACAGCTATTTGGCAATAAGATGGTCATACCTTCGCTTGACGGTGCCTTGTTCCAGTGGAACCGGGACAGGGAGAGTATGGAGGCTGTGCCTTTCAGTGTTGAATCGCTGCTGGAGTCATCCTACCGCATCGGAGAGGACACCGTTCTGGTCGGGGGCAAGTCCCTCACTACTTACGGTCTGGGGGCCTACAGTGGCAAGGTGATACTATCATGGTAATAGCTTTAAAAGTTTGCCACATGGTCACCTTTTCTGACTGTAACGATCTTTGCTTTGTTTTTTGTTTTTTTGTCTTTGCTTCAGATCCGGTACATTTGCTCTGTGGGAGGCTGCAGTCGGTGGGGGGACGAAGAGATGGAGGCGGAGGACGTTCTCCTGCTGCAGAGGACTCAGAAGACAGTACGAGCCATCAGGCCTCGATCAGGAATGGAGAAGTAAGTTCTGAACTGGTCGCCACTGGATCCACCTGCTGTATCGCATGTCAGTAAAGTTAGCGAGTTGATAAACTCCTCAGGAAGTTGCAGTTATATAACACACTGAACAAGAACACTATCTGAATACTTTGAGAATTGCAGTCACTCTGGAATCCTCTGAAGAGTATGAAGTTGCCAAAGTACATTATCCTAAATAAAAGGGTGCTTCTCTTTCATTCTTTGTTTTCGTTTTGACCCTTTTTGTTTCTTTCTGTGACCTCAGGTGGAACTTCAGTGTTGGGAGCTTTGAGCTCAAACTAGTCCCTGAGAAACAGTCTGGAATAAACTTTCTGGAGGGAGACATGGCGAACGATGACTCCTGGAAGGAAAGCCAGCGAGTCATCATCGACGAACCAAAGGAGAGGGAGTACATGGACAACAAGCAGAACCAAAACCAACATTTGGACCTCGTCATCAAAGTGTCTGTTCCCGATTGGAAGGTCATGGCCTTCAGCACCGAGCCCAACGAACGGCTGGTCTGGGAACATCAGGTGAGACGTCTTGTCTTTGCCTGTCAGCATTAGCTCCGTATAACACAGTCCTGTGTTGTAGCTCATTCTGTGTCACTATTTGCTGCGTAGTTCTGTACACCCATCGCCTCCGCCTGGCTGGTGGGTGGGGGTAAAGTCACACCGATCAGCCTGTTTGACGACACCACATACAGCAGCCGATCAGAACCTAAAGAGGACGATGAGGAGGAGTCCGATAAAACCCAGAGTGCTGCAGAGTCCAGTGTCTACCTCGGTGAGTTCATCTGACATGTGCTTTCACTCAGCTTGTTTGGTTTTTTTGTTTTGTTTTGGGCATCTTTAAAAGTTGCTGTCATTGAGTTTGTGGATGTGCTTTCAGGGATGTTTCAGGGGCAGCTCTACCTTCAGTCATCAGTGAGGATCTCTGAAAAGTTTCCCTCTAAAGCTATCGAATCGGAGAAAGACATCATTTCTCTCCCCACCGTCAAATGGAAGCCACTTATACGTAAGTGTTTCTGCGTTAAAAGCTAAACGCCAAAGGAGTCTGACTTTGACGGTAAAAAGGACAAAGTGACCGAAGACGGTTTCTATTTATTATTTAAAACCAAGTAGTCACTGTTCAAAGAATCTTTTGAAGACACAGATGTTCTCTCCCTCAGGCCCTAAGCTTTTACCCTTTGGACGATGTTTTTTTTTTCTTTTTTTTCTTTTTTTTCCAAATTGATTTCCAAGGAGTTTCTTCATCTCGTCCTTGCAGAGTCCCCGTCTCGGACTCCGGCGCTGGTGGGCTCTGATGAATTTGACAAGTGTCTGAGTAACGACAAGTATTCCCATGACGAATACAGCAACGGCGCCTTGTCCGTTCTTCAGTATCCATACGGTAAAGGCCGCGTCACTCCCCACATGGTGCAGCCCTGCATGTTGCTTCAGCACAAATTTTCCAACCTTTTCAACGTTTTCTTGCTTAGTTTTGCTATAAGCATCTGTGTTTTAGTAGAATGCCAACACAAGCAATGTGAAAGGTTTTCAGACTTAACGGTAATTAGCTAAAACAACGCTGGTAGAGACATGCCCTGAAGTGTGGTAGCTGCAACGTCAAGGGCTTCAACAAAGCCAACGGATAAATGCTTTCAGACATCCCTCAGTTTCACAATTATGCACTAACTAATTTGCGAGAGGCTGCATGTGCCGGGTGCAGATGAGTCGAATTGATATCTATCTGATTTCCGTCTGTCTTGTCGCCGCAGACAACGGTTACTACTTCCCCTACAGCAAGAATTACCGGGAGAAACGTGAAAGTGCCATCAGTCTGATAAAGAGAAATGAGGCGGGCTCGGACAACCGCAGGAGAAAGGACCCTGTGCTGCTGCTGCCATGGTGGAAGGAAATCCTCGGCACCATCGTCTTCTGCATCGCTGCCACCACCTACGTCGTCCGCAGGTTCTTCCACCCGCCTGCCCCTGTGGCCTACGTCAGGGTAAGAGTTCATGCCCTGACTGTTGTTAGAACTGCGGTATGTAAGTTTTATAAAAAAAAAAAAAAAAATGTTTTTACATTTTTGTTAAAACGGTCACTATGTTGAGAGCGATAGATAATCTGTGAAAAGATCAATCTACTCCACCTTTTCCCTGAGTTACTGTTGCCATCTGAAGAAACGCACCATACCGCTACGGGAAAACCGTTTATCTGCTGCCATTGGTTGCCATGCTAACTAGCTTTAGCATTCACAACAGGCTGTGGTATCTGCAACTTAGCAGAGAGCAGAGCAGGGGTTATTGACAGCGCTAAGGCCCGCCTCCTGATTGGTTGTTCTTAGATGGTGCTTGGGGAAAGGAGAGGAGATTGTGTTTTTTTCACACAGATTATCTGTCTCATAACACACTGTCACAACATGATGACCATTTAAACAAATGTGTAAAAAATATTTTTTGTAAACTTTACATACTGCACCTTTAAGTAGCTGAAAGTGGGTGTTTTTGTCCCTAAGAGTGTGTGTGTACGTGTGTGTTTGACATGTTTTTGCCATCATCTGTCCGTCGCAGCAACGGAAAGAATCCGAGACGCAGTGCCAGACCGACAGCAAGTTTGACCTTGAAGTTGTCGAATCCAAAGAGCCGGTTGCCGTGGAGAACCGCTTCAGCGAATATGTGTCCAGGTACTCCACTAACTGTCCCACTGAGGAGCGCCGGACCCATTTGTCTTTTCTGTCTGAACTTCTCCCGGCTCCCGCTGCTGTTCCACGACTTATTATCCTCGCATTTCCAGAGCCTCACTCGTTTAAGGTGTAGCTACAGATTGAGCGCTGTTACCATGGTGACCACTGGTCTTCCAGCCTGCCTTGATAGGATAATTCAGAGATGGGGAGATGGGAATCATGGTAATGTGCGATTGGGTGTCTCGGCTGTTTGCCGTCAAATCAGAGTGACCTTTGCACCTCTCCTCGCGGCGCTGGCTCCGCCTAGCTTCCATCTGCTGCGGGGTCACGGGGTCACATTTCATCACCGTCTGAACACTTTCAGAAGTTTCTCACTTCTTCTTGCTGATTTGATGTTTGTGGAGATAAATCCACCCTAAAACCTGCATCTGTCCCTTAAAGCTGCTGCTCTGGTTGATAGATTAATTTAGCTCCAGAACTTTTCCGAGCTGAAAGTGACAGCTGCTGCTCTCACACTTTTGACTCCGAGTTCCGTGTTGAGCCGAAGCCGAGGTGCTTTTCCAGGGTGCAGCCAGGTCTGAATGTGCCTTCCCAAGCGGTAAGCGCACGGCACTGCTCCTCATTTATCAAAAACTCCTTTAGATTTGGCTGCAGTAGTAATGGTGGTAATGATTCATGAGGCCGTGCTCATGCAAGCTAATTCTACAGTGCAGTAGCAGGATATGGTGTTTACTCATAGTTCAATCCCCTGAATTTGAGACATGGACGAAAGAAAGATTGTTTAAAAAAAAAAAGACACTTTTCTCTAACTTTTTTTTAAAGCCCCACAAAAGATAATTAATGACAAATTAAAGCACTGTCCATCTGTTCAGTGCAGATCTGAACGGGTCAAAATTATGTCCCAACTTCAAGTTTTTACTTTTTCAATTATTCCAAATCCCGTCTAAAAAGTGGGCAAACAATTTTCACAAATGAATTATTTTCTGCTGGAGTTTCTAATGTTATTCAGGCTCCTGCAGGGACATAACTGAGGGTGGCAGCACATCCTTAAAAAGTCTTAAATTCATTTTGAAGAACTCTTCACCGTCCTAATTATGCTAATCACAGGACTTAAATTTTGTTGTCACAGGATTATTCAATGTTGTATGTAGTTATTTTTCTTTCTAGCGGGACTTTTCTGTCAGGCAACAGTTTGAGTCACATGCAGACATCTTCAATACATTATGTGCCTTGAGGCGGTCGGTAACTAGCTGCTAACACACCCTTGCTAGCTTTCTTTTCTCTAGCGTGGGGAAGTGCAAATGTATCCTGAGTTGGCCAGACAACATTTTTTTTTGTTACCACTGGCTTACTTCTGTTGCCAGCCCAATCCTGAAATCATTCCCTATATCTATATATTTTTTTTCAGTCTGAAATTTCATTCAGCCTTCCATTATAAAGCTCTTAAAAAGTCTTAAATTTGTCTCTGAAGCCTGTAGAGACCCTGTAACTTTATACAGCCTCTCTAATTTTGAATGGATGATGAAAACCTCAGTAATCAAATTCTAGCAAGTGAATATTTTCTGTGTTTTACCTTGAATTCTCCAAAGTTCTCTTGAACACTGTGAAGTCTTCCTTGCCCAGGGATAACCAGCGTGAATCTCTCTCCTCCCCCTCCTGCCTCCCAGGTACCTAACAGACTTCGAGCCCATGCAGTGCCTCGGCCACGGGGGCTTCGGCGTCGTCTTTGAAGCTCGCAACAAGGTGGACGACTGCAACTACGCCATCAAAAGGATCCGCCTGCCCAACAGGTAGCGCCTCTCGCCCGGCTGCAGCACGCTTCCTTGCTGGGGGCTACCGGCTCTGTTTCCTTTAAAGCCGGTTATGTAAGCTGTGGCCTACTTGTTAAACACAGAAAACCACACAAACGCTTAACTGGCGTTTTGAAACCAATATTAGCGGTGCATTTATTATTTATACACACAAGCATGGATATTTAATGTTGCTTCTCTTAACACTTGCGGACCGATTTGTACGACTCCCTCCAAAAAAGTATTGCAGCCATGAAGGCAATTTCTCTACTTCTGGCTTTGGTTGCAAATATTAACAATGAGATGTGTGACTGAAAATAGTTTGTTGTTGCCCCTTTGGGCCTCTTGCCATGATCATTTAAACAAAAAATATAGCTGAAAGTCTTATTCTCATTTTGGGTTTGCGTTTGTAGACTGTATTTATGGTGTAGAGTTGTGTCCAAAAAGAAAACCAGATTGTGTTTGAAGGAATAACAGCCAATAGCAATTCTAAACAGAAGAGAAGATGGAAAAACTAGAGATATTGCACAAAAACTGGCAATAGCCACCACATTGTTAGGAATGTATGGAAGAGAAAAGAACAGACAGACCAATTTAAACATCAGCGGCAGATGATGGAAACCATTGCAGAACTTGTATTAGTTGCAGAGTTTACCGTTTGAAGACGACAAACATCAGAGATCATTTGGAAGGCCAGTAAAACGACTAAAACCAAGAAGTAGAGAGAAGCCTGAACCTTCTACGACAAAGTTTGATGGACTTTTGAGACAAAGATGAAGCGTTACCAAAGAGACAGAATGGTTCATATTCGGAGAAAGAGAAGATTGGCTGATAGACGAAGCCTTTAGAAATCCTGACCTGCTAATTCCAACCTTTTTCTTTTTGTCTGAAAAGTCGCTGAATGTAGCTGCTTCTAATTTTCAGAGGTAGATGAGATTGGTGGATAAGGTTGGTTGATGTTTCCACAAGAGTCTCCCAAGATTAAGGATTAAGAAAAAAGGTTTTGCCATTTTCGGTTCCTTAATTAACATAAAGATGTGGCATGAAAAGTCAACCTTTGTCTCATGTCCAGCTGTTGATGTCCATCTAAATATTTACGATCTACAACTAATATAAAGAAAATACTGTTACAGTTCCCACACTTTCGGAGGACTATGTATTTTCGTTCCATATCCGTAGCAACACTAAGGTGTTTTTAAAACTCTTGCAGTATAAAAATTAGCTTTACTTTCAGTTTTACCGTTTTATTGCTATGTCACAAATAGTTTTTAGCGCAGTAGTTGAAATCAGTGTGAAAGCTGGATGTTTTTCAGCCTTGTGGTGTGTGTGTGTGTGTGGTCCAGGGAGCTGGCCCGGGAGAAGGTGATGCGAGAGGTGAAGGCCCTGGCTAAGCTGGAGCACCCAGGGATCATCCGCTACTTCAACGCCTGGCAGGAGAGCCCCCCCGAGGGCTGGCAGGAGGAGATGGACCAGAGGTGGCACAAGGACGCCAGGTTAGAGGGCGGGGTCAGGGGGTCGCTGGGCTCACATGCTGTCCAGGTAGATGGGTTTAGCATAGAAATAAGAGTATGGAAAATATTTCTGTTTTTGAGCTTTGTTCGTTATTTTGTGTCCATCTCTCCGACTTCTCTTTCCTTTCTATTTTCTTTCCTTTCTATTTTCTTTCCTTTGCTCATTTTTTTTACTTTGTTTCTATTTCATTTTCCTAATTTCTTTTCTTCCTCCCTTGCTTCTCCCATTTCTCTCTTCCTTTTTTCCCTCTTTCTGTCCATCAAAAGTTTTCTTCCTTTCCTTTCTTCATTCTAAATTTCTTCCTTTTTTATTTTTAGTCTTTCCTTTGATCTGTCCTTTTTTCTTCATTCCTTCCATCATTTCTTTGTCTTTCCTTCCTTCCTTTATTTTTGTCTTTTCATTCCTTCTCTTCTTTGGTTTAGCTTTTAATTCCTCATTTCCTTTCTTTTTCCTGCTTTCCTTTTAGTTTTTCCTTTAATCCTTCTTTTTGTAATTCTTTTCTTCATTCCTTGTGTCCATCCTTGTAGTCTTTCTATTTTTCCTTCCTTCTTTTAATTTTTGTTTCTTTCTATCTGCCTTTCTTTTCTTCTTTCCTTCCTTTTAGTTTCCTTCCTGTATGTTTTCCACTCTGTAATGAAGTTTTATCCAGTCGCGTATTTATCTGTAAATTCCTGGTAAATATTGTATTTCCAGCTGTTTTTACATCATCCTGTCCTGTAGTCCAGCAGAGGGATTGATAATCCCTCAGAATGAAATCCAGTCTTCCCTTGTGGACTAACTGTAGTAATAATAACTCTTCCTCTTCCAGTACCACTGATTGGCCGATGAGCATCCCCGACCACATGGAGGTGCTGTCGGTCAAAGTCCCCGTGTCCAGTTCCGTGTCCCCCACGTCTGGTCCAGACGGAGACACATCCGTCAGCGCTCAGGCTCTCCTCTCCAACAGCAACGCCGGCTTCAGCGCCAACGAAGGAGACGCCGATCTGTCCTTCCAGCCGCTGCCGGGCCACGACAGCCTGATGTCTGAGCGGGACAGCCAGGCCGACCCCGACGCCTCCGACACCCCCAACTCCTTCGAGCTGTGCCCGCCCCGCGGCCCCAGCGACTGCACTTCCTCCTCCTTCGACATCGTCTTTGAGGACTCCGGCTGCGATCGGGATGCCGATGCTGACGCCGACACGGACTCGGCCACGAGCGCCGCCGGTCCCGGAGCACTGACAGAGAAGAAGAGTTCTTCTTCTTCTCACAGCAGGCAGGAGGAGGCTGCACCGCCGGCCTCCTCCAGTCCTCCTCGACCGATCGCGCTCACCCTGGCTCTCCCAGCCACCCAGCCGATCCAGCGCTGCCAGCCTTCCCCAAAGGTTATTACCAAGCGACCAGCTCAGACGCTCGGCCGTCCTGTTGTCAGATTGTCCTTGAACACGGCGTCCTCCCTGCAGGTGTACCTGTACATCCAGATGCAGCTTTGTCGGAAGGAGAACCTGAAGGACTGGATGGCTCAGCGGTGCCTGCCGGACCAGAGGGAGCTCAACCAGTGTCTGGACATCTTCCTGCAGATCGCAGAGGCCGTCGACTTCCTGCATAGCAAGGGCCTGATGCACAGAGACCTGAAGGTAAAGGCACACAAAACCTGCGCTGAGGAGGAAGAAATGATATGCATCCCGTGTGTCTGCAGTTACTAAACCCAGGATTTCCCCCAGGGTTTTATAAGCCTGGCGGGCCTCTAGGCTTTACTTACCACCAGGCTAAGAATTGTTTGTTTATTTATTATAAGTTTTTTTTATACACCAGTTTCTGTAACCACTGCCATTATTTATTGGTCTACAAACTAACAACTTCAGCTAATAAAGCGACAAGTCATGGATAAAGGATCAACAAAATTTGGACACTTTACTTAGGATGAAACGACTGAAACAATTATTTTTTTGTTTACCTTTTTTTAAGACTTTACAGTTGTACAGTTTATTTAGTGCTCATAATATCTTCCAATAACACATAGTTACCTAGTCATATTTTCAAATTTCCTGTCAAATTTAAATAGTTTTTAACTCAAAAACATGGTGGGGTGACTGAACTAGCGCTCCAACCACTGGGTTTAGCAAGTTTCCCACAGGAAACCCTGTAAAGCACTGACAAAAAAGAGAACAGTCTGGATAAATCACTACTGGATAAATACAAGCAAATCTTCAACCATTCATTCATTAGCCAACCTATTGAAAACTAATCAATACCTTCCTAATGATAACCAACCACTTTGACGTGTTTCTGTCTGGTTGCCATGGCCACCACAGTACTGACTCTGCCCTGGTCGTTCATTAGCTGTTTCCATGGACCGCGTCGTTGCGCAATTTGACATTTCGGAAATAAATTTGCTTACTGGAAACTTGCCACTCAGGTCTTCTGGTTCTGGTTCTGCTCTGCATCCCCAGAACCAGAACCAGAACCAAACATGGAGAAGCAGCATTCAGCTTCTATGAACCACACATCTAGAACAAACTTCCAGAAAACAGTCAAAACACTGAGTTAATTTAAATCAGAGCTAAACCCCCACCTGTTTAGAGCTGCTTTTGATTAATAATAACTGGAACATTGATCAGCATATTTGATGTTTAATTGCTTTGATGACTTTCATGCATTTGACGCAACGGGATGTTTTATAATTGGCTGATGTTTTCATTATTTTAATCACTGAACTGCCTGGTGGCTGATATGTGCTGCACAAATCAACTCGTCTTGTCCTCTGCTCCCTCCAGCCTTCCAACATCTTCTTCACCATGGACGATGTGGTGAAGGTGGGGGACTTTGGCCTGGTGACCGCCATGGACCAAGAGGACGACGAGGATGAGCCCAGTGTGTTGACCCCCGCCCCGCTCCTCACCCGGCACACGGGCCAGGTCGGCACCAAGCTCTACATGAGCCCGGAGCAGGTGACGGAAACGAACGCTGCTGCAGAAGTGACTGTTACAGAAAACAAACACCAGGCTGACTCCGCCGTGTCTGCTCTGCCCCGCAGCTCTCCGGTAACTCGTACTCTCACAAGGTGGACATCTACTCTCTGGGGCTGATCCTGTTCGAGCTGCTGTACCCCTTCAGGACCCAGATGGAGAGAGTGAGGGTGAGTCGGCAAACACACAGACCTCTAATTATCTCCTGATTTTGAGCTGTGAAGAAATATCCATACTTATTAAAGCAGCAGTATCATGTAAAATCAACTTTTTTGAGCTTTACATCAGATTGTAATGTTATTCCCTCGTCAAAAACATACCTGGAATGTTACCTTGATTCTTTTAAGGCAAATTTTAAAAGACTGAGAAATCCTTTACTCTCCATGGCAACCATCAGCTGAGCAAAGCACTTGGTTGGTTGGACCTAACACCACCTTTGAAGCACAGCTCCTCCTCACGAAGCTTTCAAGCTTCCACCTCATAGAGCAGCTCTCCCTCACTCAGCTCCTTCAGACTAGCCAGCAGCAATTAGCAAACACCTGGTGAACCTACACATCTCTGGAGCTCATTATAGGAGCTACTTCTCAGAGCAATGCTGGTAAAAACATTGTTAAATAGAGGAGCCATGTTGTGATGACTTCCTGAAGGCGGAGCTTCAGAAAGAGCAGCAGTTTCTTAAAGAGACAAAGGCCCAATTTCCAAGAGTTAAATTACAAAGTCAAGTTTCTTTTAAGTCTTATTTGATATATACATCATTTAAAAAAACAAACAAAAAGTTAACATTGTTACTTGATTGTGCTAGAAAATGTCACTATGTGGCTGTAAAACACATAATACTGCCCCTTTAAACTTTTTCACATTTTACCATGTCACAGTAACAAACTTCAGGGTTTTTTTATTAGGATGTTTGTAATCTGTCTAAATAAGTTTAATAATGTCATAATCTTCTGTTTATTCAATCAGCATTTAATACAGCTCACACAAAAAATGTTAAAATATAATTGTGCGTCTTTTTTAATTTCAGCATATCATGAGAAACGGTCAGAGAAAAAAACTTGTAACAAAATGGCCTCTTATCAATTAAACATTAGCCAATCAATCAGCTCAATCAACTATTTTGCAAAAAAGAGAGGCAAACGTTTCAATCTCTAGATATCGACTTAACAATTGCAACTTTTCACCACCTTTTAGATGATTTCCTCCTACTTAACTATTATGGTTTGAATCACAAATTAAAGTTTGTGATTCAAGCATGATGAAATGGAGAAAAGTTCAGAGAATGAACTCTTTGCTAAATGTCAAAATGTAAAATATTTCCTCAGTTGAAATAGTATGAGCGGTAGGAGTGACGGGTTTGGTTCATTTTCTTTGCTCTGCTCTGAAATGCTCAGTCAGGTCCTGTACAGTATTTCAGTGGTGAAGCCTTTGTCTGTGATGAGCCTTCAGGGCCTCCTCACTCACGGTGTTTACCTTCCTCCTTTAAGACGCTCACCGAGGTGAGAGCTCTGCGCTTCCCGGAGCTTTTCTCCAGAAACAACGCTGAGGAGGTGAGTGGTCATCTGCTGCCACCTAGTGGCTACAAATACAACTAACGTCTGTATTCGTTGATTTCTGTGGAAGCTTTGATTGCAATTATTATTATTTTTTTTTTTCCTGGAATATTATCAGAGAGTAGATGTAAATTACCCGTCCACCCTAAACCAACCATGATGTGGTTTTGGATTAATTTATCACCTAAAGCTCTGAATTAGAAAAAAAATAAAAAATCTTTCTAATTTGATGCTTTTCTTCAATATGAAGTGAAATTCATAACTTTAATGTGTTCTTAGTAAAAACTCTTTTAGTAATCGATTAGTCAAACTATTAATCGATTAATTGGATTTTAAATTTAACCACTTAAGGTTGTTCCATACTAATATCATAAATAGATTAAAAAACACATGCATTTCTACTATTTGGATTATTTTTGTTTTTGAAGTAAGGAAGAAAAAAAAAACACATTTTATTCCCTAAAATGCAGTGACAGCATTCCATTGGTGAACCCTTGACCATTTGATCAACTTGAGAAAAATTCAGTCCTGCTGGACTCAACATCAGTACAGTGTAGGGCTGATCATTTGATTATTTTTTTAATAATTGGATAACAGAAGATGCTTAGTAGGAATTTTAACAATTGATTGATTGCTGAATTACTTCACAATTGATTAAATAATCAATTAATCGTGATCAATCGTTTGAGCCCAAGTTGTTTTCCTTGTAAAATCAGACACTGACTCGTCCAGTGAGTGTTTTAGCTGCTGCTTAGCAGAGCTGTTTACTTTGTAATGAGATTAACTTAATCCTGGGGTACAAACTGTGACTATCAGGCTCTTTAAAATCCCTCCACTCTGTGTTGCCAAACTATCCTCGACTGCACTGATGTCTCATAAACCAAACATGTCCGCCTCTCTGTTAACAGCTGACCATGGTCCGCAGCATGCTTTCTCCGAGCCCCAGCGAGCGTCCCGAGGCGGCCGACATCACTGCCATGTCCCTGTTCCAGGAGCTGGAGCTGCCGTGCCGGCTCGCCGTCAGGCAGCGCTCCCGCACCTACAGCTCCTCGTCCATGGGCCGCCCCGCACGCCAGGCGTCCTCCAGCTGAAAACGCTGCGTTCAGATACCGTCTGACATGAGAAGCCCCCGCCCGGTCACTTCGCTGCCAGAGAATAGCGACAAAAAACTTTTTAAACGTAGACTGTATCCCGCACAGTTAACTTTAGAAAAACACCGAGTCATTTATCGTTCATGCAGCGTTACACTACCCAACTTTCACCCTTTGTAAGAGGGGAAAGACTCTTTCAAAAGCATTTTTCTTGTGGGTATTTCAACAAAACAAAAGAAAAAAGGGCAGTTTTTTTTTTTTTTGTTTGTTTTTTTAATCCTGCTCTCAGCCAGCTGTGTGTAAACCTGCCCAGTGATTTCTCTGCAGCATTTACCTCTCATCTCTTTCAGAAACTGCCTCTGTTCTCACTCTTAACAAAATCATCCTCGACACCGACGCTAAAAAAAACACAATAAAAAACAAAACAAATCCGGTCAAAACGTGCTGCTCGCTCTCAACGTTGAGCCAGTGTTCAATCCCACACCGCTACGCCTCAGGTATGAAGAACCAAGGGGACACTCCTCACTCCCAAGGGGCCTTTGATGCTCGTGCGAACACAGAGTGGTGTTCCCACACACACAATCTGCCTGATTTGGAAGACCAAAAAAAACAAAACAAAAGAAAAGAAAAAGAAAACATAAAAAAGAAGACGACCATCTTTTTTTCATAATCATTTTTTTAATATGAGATGACGTATTGCATAGAGAGGCGTTTGAGTCCCGTCCGCCTGATGTGACTTGCCTTTAGAAAGGGGCCGTCGGCCCTCAGGCTGAATGCTAGCGTTAGCCCTCGTGTCGTTTTGCATGTATCAGACAGGAACATGAAGGAATGAATGTGAGGTTGTTTTTTGTTTTTTATCTTAAAGCCAGTACTTTTTTCTCTGTAAATTTTCCAGATTAACTCCTGAGGTGCTCAATCCTTTTCTAGCACCTCTTCTTTACTATCTGTACATAGTTGAAGGCAAAACTTTGTTTATACCCCCCCTCCCTTTGGTTAAGATAAGTTTGACCAATGTTGTATATATCGTAAGACGCCATTGCTTGTAAAAGGCTTTTTTTTTTTCCATATTGACCTGTAAGATAGTGTGATATACTGTGAGAGACGAAAACAAAGAGGAGGTTCGCTCTTTGCCGTTAATGAATAGCTGAATGTTACTATGTGACCCCCGCCTGGAGACAAGACCACGGTGGTCACCTCTTTGAAATTATTCTCAGTGTTTGTTTTCACATGTTTTTGGGGAACCAAGTGGAGAGCGTTGCCTTGCTTTGGAAAGAAAAAAAACACCAGAGGGGAGCTTGGAGGACCCGGAGTGCCATTTGGAAGGACGGCTAAGTGTACTTTTCTGCAACCGATAACACAGTCTTCTGCTGGCGATTTCCCCCCCTGAAACGCACAAAACTAAAACTTTTTTATGGTTACAATCATTGTTTGTTTGGTTTTTTGTAGAGATGCACCGAGAATTTTCAGCTCGACAGACAAATACAAGACTCAAAAATCTGGTATTCTTCCGATGTTTGAACGCACCATACACAAGCAGTGAAAGCAGTTCTCGGTGTGGATGTTGTTACTGTGTGAAGCAGACCTAAAGTTGGTCATTTTCAGTATCGCTGAAGCGTTTCAAGGTTCGGCTGCTACAACAGAGCTAGACTTCAGTGAGTTCTGGTCGTTGCGCTCCGACTTTTGTTTTGCCCATTTTCTAGCGACCGTTTTCAGCTGTGAAAATGGTGGCCTGCCAAAATGACGTCAACATGTACCCACCTCTTAAATCCCCATTTTAAAAAGGTCTGATGTGCAGGAGCTGCTGATGGGTTCGCTTTGTATTCCAAAGTCAGATTTTCCGAGTTCCCAGTCAAGAATACAACAATAACTCAGCCTAAAATCCAAATAAAACCTTGTCAGATGAAGACCAGATGAATTTTTTTATCTCATTAAGCCCGTAGCTTATTTACTATACATTTTAACAACTTGTAAACATGTATCTGTACTATGTAAGTGCATCAAATGGAGGAAAAATACATTATTAGCACTTACAGCTAGCTACAGCTAGCTTGTGCAGCTAGCTGTAGTTGCACATGCCACTTTGCTTTAACATCTTTCCTAAATCTGATCTTTTTTTACTTTCAATATAGACTGAGCACTGATTAGATATAACATACACAAGAAAACAATGGAGGTGGGTGTTTTAAGTCTAACAGAAAAATACATTATTAGTGTATATGAGTTAATAGCGTATATGGATAAATTTTTCACATTGAACTTCAAAAATGAGAATAAATGTTGATGCATTTACAACCTGGAGTAGTAGCAATTTTTGTAGTTTTGATGCATTTAATAAATGAAGTAAAAGGAAACCTGAAGAAATCTGTGGTCAGATCGGTGCATCGCTACAAAAACAAAAAGGTTGAGTTCTGCAGCTCTCCTGTGTCGCAGCAATACAGCATTTCCATAAAAAGAGTTGGTTGGTACTGTTTTATCCCCTCTGCTGTCTGTGGGGAACCTGGACCTGATGACGGGTGTGTGATCCACATGGCCTTTGTTTTAATGCGCTGGAAGAGTCACATGACCTGCTTTTTGGAACTACACACACACACACAAACTGTTAGCTGTAGGTTGTGCTTTCTATGATTGTACTTTTCTAAAGACCTTCTCTTTTTTCACAATGAGTGCAGTTTTTTGTTTTTTTCATTACTCTTCAGGGTTTTTAGATCACGTTAGTCTTGACTGTCAGATGGAGGAAGTCAAACTGATGTTTTTTTTTTGTTTTTGTTTTTTGTTCGTTCGTCCGGTCAGTTTACAAAAGATGATTCAGAGTTGTAAAATTCTCAGCTTCCACTTTTGACAGGGCCCGCCCTGTTAAAAGTGGAAGCTGGATGGTTTTTTAAGTGATTTCGCCTCATCAAAACCAAACCCTCCAGGCATTGTTTTGTATGTTACTTTAATCCTTTTCCGACTTTTTTTTTTTTTTTCCTACAAATATTGTTGCAATTTTTCTCTTTGATTACTGGTTTATATTTCACAGGAGGGTTTGGAATAATCATTCATCAGGAGTTTTTGGATTTTGCTCCAAGTACATGTTTGATAATGGGACAAACCTTCACAACTTTATTCGACTACATTAGTAAGATACCGCATCATCTCTCTATACTGACTGAAGCATTGCTGACTGGTGTATCAACAGTCAAACCAAGAAAATGTGATCCCATCCTAGGTTTTCCGTCTTAGTTTGTTTTCCGGAACCCCGAGTTGTTTTCTCGGATAAATTGTTCGAATGGAAACCAATTCCATTGTGTGTCTCGAGCCTCTGCCTGCACACGCAGACGCTTTGGTCTCTGTGCACCAATCTCATTTCTCCGTCTGTCCGTGTTGAACTGTAAATATGTCGATTTGGTTTATTTATGTTTCGTGATCAATCCTTTGTGGGTTGGCGTTACACTGAGCGCTTCATGCCATGGAGCGCATTGGAATACGACTTCTTATAAGTCTGAATTTAATAAACTGTTCTATACAATTTTCACAGTTGTGTGTGTCATCAGTTTTGTTGGCCAGTTAAGGTTCTGACAAAGTACTTTCTTCTAATGTCATCCATGCTGTTTGGTTACGTTTAGCACAAGAGCCATTGTTAGCATGTCTGGCTAATGAAATTAGCGCTACAGAAATGACCTTGATGGTGTCCTGAATCCAACTGATAATATTTGACTTAAAAAGTGATGTTCATTCCTGTCCTGCAAGAACAAAATGGACAAAATAAAAATAAAAAAACATTCAGTCTTTGGATGTCAGAGCTGGTAGACTGCAAAAAGACTTGAGGCTGAAACATTTGCAACCAATTAATTCAATTAATATCAGATTATTACCCACAGATCACATTCCTTCCACTTCACCATTATGCACCACTTTCTGTTAGCTTATCACTTAAGAGAAACTAACACCACTCTCCCGATTGGCATGACTGGCTTTGTATCCATTACAAATGTGCAGGAAACTTTGTCAATATTCCGCTAATGTAAAAAAAAAAAAAAAAAATGAGTAACCCGCAATTGCTGTCTATCCATTTTCTTTATGCCCTTGTCCCTTAGTGGGGTCAGGAGGGTTGCTGGTGTCTATCTCTAGCTAACGTTCCGGGCAAGAGGCAGGGTCACCCTGGACGGGTCACCAGTCTGTCGCAGGGCAACACAGAAGACAAACAACCATGCACACACTCACACCTAGGGGCAATTTGGAGAGGCCAGTTAAACTGACAGTCATGTTTTTGGACTGTGGGAGGAAACTGGAGTACCTGGAGAAAACCCACACATGCACAGGGAGAAAATGCAAACTCCATGCAGAAAGACCAGGGCTGGGAATCGAACCCAGAACCTTCTTGCTGCAAAACAACAGCTCTACCAACTGCACCACTGTGTTTCCAATTGCTGTGTTTCCATTAAATGAGAAACACAATTCAAATCAAATATGAATAATTTTGTTCACGCATCAAGTCATAAAAAGCACACCTGCACCATAATCCTCCAGTTACTTCCTGTCGTTTTCTTCTTCCTGGTTTGCGGCAGTGGCAACATCCGGTTGTCAGTCATCTGACTTGACATAAACCAATATCAATATTGCTAGAAAAACTACCTCATCCTAGCGTCAAAACTTTTTATGGAAAAATGAGTTTTTTTCAAAATTGGCATGTTTGCATTAAGCAGATTTATTTTCAAAATGTCAAAGAGGCAAATTCTTTGGCCAGTGGAGCTAGTGTTTAACTTCTTTCACACATTCAAAATGAGAACAAGAAATGGCTTTTAAAGCAGTGGGAAGGCTGCATAGTGGAGCCACTGGGTAATTTTGCTGTCTGAGCTTTTCATGTAATGACTCACCAATGGATGCTGTCTGCTGTTTTTCAGCCCTGAAGCCAGTATGAAAGGCTGAAACTGTGCCAGTTATCTTCTCTGTGTGAAATTGTTTTATTGCCTTTATCAATAAGGTCCTATGAGGTCAACCCCATCAACCAACAATGGGAGGCAGTCTGCACACCAGCTTTCAAACACTTTCAGCTTGTGCTCATGCAGAGACGTGGTTGATAGTTCCCTGGCACAGTGAATGGTGTTGATAACACTGGCTCATGTGCATTTAAAGTTAGCCATACAGGTATGAAGCTCACAGCTTCTCTAGATAAGGGTGAAATATCTCCCTGTGAGTCGAGGACAGCAGGTACCTGCACACCGTTAATTACCACTGTGGTGGAGTTGGACTTGGAAAAACCTCTGCGAACCAATGTCTTTTTAGCTGCCGTGGTGTAAGGTATTGCTGCCACTGTTTTATGAAGCTTTGCTACTTCCGAAATCAGTGTAAAAGTTGCTTCTTCACAGCAACACTAGCCGACTTTCCACAAGCTAGCAGACAAACCTTGTGGTTGGGGTCAAGCCCCTGCAGACTGTTTGGCTTTGCACACTGAGGTACGGTTGCCAACAAGCTTCTGAGTGAAATGAAAATGTTTTTTGAATTATTACTGATGCTACGGCAGCCCTGTTTACAGCACACTGTGAGGGTCTGGGCCTCTACTGCTGCCATTCATGCAAGGCTGACATAAATTCAAACTTCTGACAAGGTGTTCCCCACAGCGGGACAAAAAACATGATCTATGAAGGAGAACCTTGTTAGTCACTCAATCAGTAAAACTGAAATAAGTCAAAGTGTATAAATATGTAGACTCATGACTGTGCATAGATAATTATTTTGTATTTTCTTATCAAACAACATTTATGCAATGACTCTACAGTATGAAATGTTGACCTTCGTGTTAACCTCCACGGTTCATTCTGTCATGTTGGATAAACTCATCTCTGGGCCAAACCCTGACTGACGCTGAGTTTTTTTTCCCAGTCAGCTGTGGACGGTGGAGTTTGGGTGTCTTCTGTCTGGCCAGACGTGGTCTCTGAGGTTGAGCTGGGATTTTTCTTCTTAATCCAGAGCAGTTAACTCTTTGGGCTCCAGACCACAGGAGAGTGTAAGTGTAGTCTAACCCTGACTTTGGGTGCAAGATTACAGAGTGAAGATTCTGAACCAAACTAGGTACGTATATTTGAAGCATGAGTTCTGTTTGCTTGTCCACCTGCGTTGTTCATCCATGTTTAGCCTTAGTTTCAGTCTTTTCTTTTGATCAGCCTTTTTTGGTGTTTGTTTAGTTATTATTGGTTATAGTTATTCATGTTTTGTTTTTTCTGCCTCCACTGTGCCATCTTTCCCTCTCTCTCTCCCTCAACCTGCCTTCTCCTCCGCCCTCACAGCTGCACCCAGTTATCATTCAGTCCCATGTCATCATTCCAGCTCTGACAGTTCCAGTCTCCTTCATTCCTCGCTGGATTCTTCTGTTACCTCCTTGTACCTGGTTCTCGTTTGTTTCTGCTCTCGTTCCCCTTGTCCTCCCTGTTGCTTTGTAACTCATTGTTTTGTTATTTTCTCATTAAATATCCACCATCTGTTCCCCACCTCCACCTGCATTTGGGTCCAATCCTCACAACGACACATCATGGCCACACTGATCATTTCCACACTTTTGGCTACAATTTCCTTAGATATTATTTAGTGAAGATTTATTTTATCCTGTTAGCTAACTTCTTTTTCTTAGGTTTTCTGTTTTATTTTACTATTATTATTATTGTCATATTTACTATTGTTTTTTTTTTTAATCTTATTTTAAATCAATCCCAAAACACTGCACTGGCCATCATCATTTCTTTGTCTGTGTGCAACAAGTTGATCCATGTTAGATTTATTTGGTTGGGCTCACTATCTGTCTGTCTCTTCTTGCACTAACTCAACACTGATCAGCACATAAGTGATGTCACCAGGTCAGAATTTTTTTTTTCTTCCTGACCACAGACACATGTCCTCTGTTACTGCTTTGAACCCTTCTGGTTACAGTTTCAGAGGTACAGAATATTCTGGCATTAGATAACACCGGCTGGCTGGAGGCAGAAGTTAAACTGGAGGTTAATCGAGGACACATTACAGACACAAAGTGAACATTCAGTTCAGCTCACCAACTGTCTAAACCCACAGACAAAGACCATTACTTTAAAAACCAGGATTTGTTTGTGCCAGTGGGGCTGTTGCCTGGGGCTACGCTGGTGCCTCACATACAGAAGTATTAGTTTTGACTGAGCCATCAGAGGTTCAAATCCTGACCTTTGACCCCATTGCTAGGTCTTTCCCCACCCATTCTCTCTCTGCTCATTTGCAGTCTGATCACTGTGAAGGACGATTGATGTACTTTATCTTATCAGGTGTGATCTTTGTACAAAGGTCCTTCACAAAAACCTCAAACATGACAGATTGTTTGCTTTCTTCCCCTTATTTCTTCCATGTCATAATAATGCAACCTTTGACCCTTTATTCAAATTATGCATACATATTACTTGGTATTTTTATACTTTTTTTTGTGAAGCTACATGACTCAATTGCGTGTCACTTTGCTGCTGTTGCACCTGAATTTTCCCCAGTGTGGGACAATAAAAGATATTTCTATTCTATTCTTCTATCTCTTTAAACAATAAGGGAAACTCCAGATGATGATGATGTGGCTTTGGAAACTTCTGATAGGTTAATCAACACATATGAGTTAGCTGGAGTCACACCTGTGGATGTGTTTTAATTCCACACCTGGAAGACACTGTTGTTTTGTTTTTTTTTGTAACGATGGGAAAGTCAAAAGAAAATCAGCCAAGATGTCTTCAAGAGAATAACGGAGCTGCACTAGTCTGGGTCATCGCTGGGATCAACTTCCAGATTCCTGATGGCGTCGCATCGATCTGTTCAAACAATTACATTCAAGTGTAGACATGATGGGGATGTCCGACCATCGTACAGCAGGCTTAACATGAACAGGTTTTGGTCTGAAATATGCGAACGCTGCTGCAGCTGGTATGACTGGTACCCTAACCACTCAGGGAGGAGGAAGACAATTACTTCACAAGAAATATTAAAAATGGCAGATTTCAGTTTGTGAATGTGCACATAGACACTGCTGGTCCCAAACGTATCTGACACCAAGCCCCTCTGGTGCTTTGGATTCTGTCAGCGGAGAGCGAAGCTGAGAGCGACGAGGGAAATGTGTCAAAGCTTGTTTGGCATTTCCACCGGGGCTGCCTGAGTCACTGCTATCATTCTTCTGATTGGTTGTTTGGGAAAAACTACAAGAGAGGTAGTTTTATCTGAAGTATTCTGTTCATCAAGTGAGTCTGTTACATCAGCCTCTAAATCTGATTATGCCTTTTGCTTTGTTTGTTTTTTTATCAGCTAAAAACAAACCCACTGCCTTTCAGATGAACTCACAATTATTCTTCTTCCACCAACTTTCTTTGTTCTAATTTGAAAAGAACTTTACATTTTGGTGACTCTCTCAACTTTACAAATACTGTGGAGCATTTCCTGACGGTTTCATTTTTCTGAGACCTGATTCCAATCGTTGTTTTTGTTTCTTGATAGTTTGACTTTGTAAGTCAAGAAGTTAAGTTGTTTTCCTGCCGTTTGCAAAGTCCAAGTGCCAGTCAATCACTGTAAGATGGGAGATACAATTGAAACTGCTCATCATTCATAAGCTGGAATCAATAAACCTTCAAGAAAAATGTAATTGTTGAAACTGGTTTTTTTTTTTTTTTTTGGTGTGTGACAAATAATTGAAAATAAAAAGGCAGCACAAAATGGCAAGTGATAAAACATATGGGTTTACCAGATGTTTTATGTTTTTATGTCTGGATAATAACGTATGATAATTGTTAAATTATATTGATTCCCCAGTCCAACAGATACTTATTCCTTTCCCAGTTTATAAATCACTTCCTCTGAAATATCACGTGAAATCAGAGAAATCAGATCTCCCTCCTACTCGCGACAGTTACAAACAATACCTAATATAACATTATAATATGTAGCCTAAGCATACATTATTTGAACTTGAAACTTCAGTGTTTTCATGAAACTGTAAGCCATTAAATATTTTAGTTTGAAGACCTCCTCACTAAAATATTTAAAATGCAGTTCTCATTCACGTCAACTACATGTTTTTTAATTGAACATCACCAGCATAATCTTAATGTGTTTCATATATTTTTTTAAAATCTCAAAACTACTAAGTTGAATGTCGAAATTATGACTTTGTATCTCATAATTTTGATCAATCAATCAATCAATCAATCAATCAATCAATCAATCAATCAATCAATCAATCAATCAATCAATCAATCTTTATTCCAGTCACAAAAAGGTCCATAGTAAAAAAAAAGGTAAAAAACAAACAAAATAAAAGAAAAATAAAAAAATAAACATGACATATTATTCACTGAGTCACAAATAAATGATGATTCCACAGTCTTGAATACTTATCAATTATGACTTTATCTCATACTTTGTATCTTATGAGTCTGAAAGAGTGAATGATGTTCATATGAACGAGCAATGCAGGAGTACAAAGGAGCAAAGTAAGATTGTATAAGTAATTTTCTTTAAAATAAATAAATTAAAATTATGTGAGAAATGACACCGAGATTCATAGCGGAGTTATCAACCTGAAGAGACGGGATAAATTACCTGTTTTCAAAATAAGGGTTTCAGGCCACAGACGCTGCGTTGCGCATTTCCGTCGCCATAACGTCACTTCTGGACGTCAATATGCGGCTCGGTGCGGCGCTGGGAAACAGTCCCTGAAATGATGGAAACTAAGTAACCAGCGAAGCCTTTCCTTCAGCGAAGAGCCTCCGCTGTTTTACCTCCAGGGAAACGCTACAACCGCGTCGATAAAGAAGGAGCCCCCGCAGACTGACAGCTCCCTGGGTGGTTATCCCCCGAAGCGGCTGACCGCCTGCCTCAAGCAGCCATCTTTTGTGAGAGAATGTACGGGGCGACGCGGTGGGCCTGCTCGGGCTCCTGCTCTGGTCCCGGCCGGAGCTTGTTGATGCTCACAACCGCGCTGCTGCTCTCGGCCGTCGTGCTGCTCTCCGGGCTGCCGGGTTTCACCGAGGCGAAGGAATGCGACAAACCGTGTATGAACGGACAGTGTAACACCGCTACGGGCAGCTGTGTGTGTTTCTCCGGCTGGGTTGGGGACCAATGCCAGCACTGCGGAGGGCGATTCAGGTACACCGAGCACAGCAAACCGCTGGTTCCATCACTGGGACCGGTTCAGGTGGTTTGATCTGCGTTAGAAATAGCACAACACTTTACTACTACTACTACTACAGCTTCTGTCACTATAACACAGGGACTAATGTGAAATGAGAGAAAATTAGTTTAAAAGTAACTTTGTCTGGACACAATTTAGCACATCAACAAGGCTCTCCGCTGAATATTGTCCTCTTTAAGTCTAAATCAAAATTTCTTTGATAAGTATTTATGTAGGCTGTTAATTCAACGTACTAAAAATAGCAAAACGTTAGACTATCACAACCACAAACGTCAAGAGTATGTTTTTAAGCTTTTATGTGACAGAACGAGATAAACCTATGAAGTGCAAAGAAACTGTAAGAACATCAGTTTTTTTTTTTTTTTTACATAAAAATCAGGGGGACTAACGTGACATCTGTACATCTGCACAGTCATCTTTCACTGGAGTTGCAGCTGCACATCTTTTGGGTGAAGTAATGCTAATGTGTCTATCCACACATTAGCATTTTTGTCAGTTCCTCTTTGCACAACAGCTCAAGCTCAGTCTGGATGAAGAAAGTCTGAACATCAGTTTTCAAGCATCCAAGCTCTTCTTTACAAGTCTGGTTATATGTCTGAAGTCTCTTACTTTCTGTAAGACTTTTTGCTCTTTATTTGGCTTAATTTGTCTTTCCATCAACTCCCAATTCATTGCATGATGCTTTCATCTCCAAGAAGCACTGCTGCGCTGATTAAAGCGCTCCTTTTGCAAAAGGCAAAAATTTAAAATTTTTATTAGTTGTGCAAAGCTGATGGAGATCTTCCCTAAGAGATGGGCAGCTGTATCAGCAGAGAAAGATGAGTCTAGAAAGCACCTCATTATGCCGCCTCATTAAGACTAAATCTATACACAAAAAATGTTTGTAAACGATTTCCCTTTGTTCTTTAAAATTATTTGATTAAGTCAGGTTATTACTCGGACTGTCACATAACATTTTAAAAAGATGCGTTGAAGTTTGGCTTTGTAACATTATATGTAAAAAAAATAAAAGTTGAGAAACTTTTTCAAGGCACTGATGTGACTTCTTCCAATTTCCATCTGAAGAAAGTTGGAGGGAAAAATAAGTATGCTCAGAATACCTCCAGGCACAAACATAATACTTAAAAGGCTTTACATTAAAGGGAGTGAGCGTATTAGGCCTGTCATGGTAACAGATGGGCGATAAATTGAATTTATTGCGATAAACGATGATATTGTTGAAGTCATATAACGGTAATGGTATAATAATGCAAGTACACCCTCTTGATGATCAATAAACTTTAATTTCTGACAAACATTTAACATTTGGATATTTAAGACATGTTAAATATCCTAAATGAATAAGTGCATCTTGGAGTTTCTGTAAACAAAATTGCCCTAAAAAAAACAACAACAAGTTGAGACCAAAACACCAGACTGGAGCCTTTTGTCGTCCAGTTTTTTGGTAGAAAGAAAAACAATTTCACAAATGGAAACGACCTTGCTTGTTCTGACATCATCATGCGATTAATTGATTTATTGCGTCAGGCTAATACGCGTTCTGTTTCCCGCGAGCGTAAGTCGAGGTTGGACAATATTTACTTGACGATAAAGCCTTTGAGCTGTGTGGAAACAGCTGCGAGTTACAGTTCATAATGTGGTCGTAAACACAGGAAACGCTCACAAACTGTCCCCAGTGTAGGATGTGGAACACAGCAGCTCCATGTTGACGTCCTCTCATGTCGTCGTGGTAGAGCAGAGCGGAGTTAACTTTCCTTTGGGATCACTAAAGGTTTTTAAAATTAAAAACAACCTTTTATTGTCCCAATAAGGGGAAATCAGGTGTAAAGGCAGCATCAGATATAATAATTCACACAAAAAAGTTGTAAAAGTGTTAAAAACAATGTATGTAAAAACCCACATTAAAAATAACAAATCATAATGTACTGTACAAGACTGTAAGAGAAAATACTGAGCAGTTCTTAGAAAAAAATCAGACTCATGATCCAAGGAATGTCGGTTCACTTTCCCACCAAAAATTTACATGATATTCATGTTTATTGAGCATTTAAAAAAACAGTCTTATTTACAATACAGTATATACCAGTGGAGAAAAACAGAAGTGGAAATTTCATTAAAATTGAGTAAAAATGTAATGTACCACACCATGCATTTCTACTTTGATATTAAATAAATTTCTAAAAAATAAAAAAATATAAAACGGTGCAAATGATTGTGCAAGGATGCAAACACATTGATTTTATTTTATTTATTTTTTATTTAAGAGCAGTAAAAAATACATTATGGTTTCACTGAGATGGGAAAAAAATAATAATAATCTGCATCACTTGATGACAGCTTCATTCATATTACTGACTGCTTTGGACAGCATTGTGCCTCTCTGAACATCATCCCACCGATTCCACACAAACGAGCAGCAGAGTAAGAGATCAGCTCTTCCCCTCGTTTACTTTCTCCGGACCCTGAACTGAGTCGAACATGGAAGCCAGTCTTCCTGATTTTGCAGCGAGTTAGCGCGTCTTCACCGGCTAAGTGGCGATTCAGCATAGGCGCCATCTTCCTCAGGTTTAATTTGCTACCTCGTGTCATGCTGCCTCAGCACATTGCCAGCCGGTTAGGCTGTAAAGTTGAACCCGTGTAAGCCATGCCATGTTGTGCTGTGTGTGGCTCAGCAGTTGGATGGCGAAAAGGAAGCCCAGCCAGTTGTTGAGGGTCGGTGCTGACTGGACGGAGCGGTTTGCCTTTGGTGATGCTTACACAAAGAAAAATAATAATAAAAAGAAAAGAAACATGGCTGAAACTCTACATGCTCAAGGCCACCAGCAAGAGGGGTTTGGTAAACCACAATCTTAGATCCGTGGCCCTTTTTTAACAGAATTTTCTCACTTATCATCTGACTGCATAATCGTATTTACCAGTTTATAATGTCTGGTATCCGTGAAGCGCTGGTCTGCCAAAAACCGATTCAGATTTGTCGCTCTGAACTCTAAAAGGCAACAGAATAGTTTCAATGTCTTATTTTGCGTGCTAATTAAAATTTACAACCCAAAAAGACATTGGTATTTTTCATAACAATCAAAGGTCGAGAGTAGATTTGAAGCAAACTAAAGAAATAAAGCTGTCTCTAACTGTGTCGTTGAAAGCTGTGATAAAATTCCACAGGTTACGATGCAAACATAACCTTATTGTTAATCTGTACTAACAAACCCAGCGGGAAAAATAAAAAAAATGTCGCAGCATAATTCCCTTTGTTTATCTACAAGCAGGGCTGGTTCATATAGGCCAAAAATAAAATCTCAAATTTTGTCATTCCAGGTCTGACTTCCTATTTACAAGAGACAGAAAATATTTTTAAAATTGTCTTTTGTCTCAGTCAGTGCCATTGTGAGTTGTACAATGGCAAATATTGGTTTAATTAAGAGAGAATAATGCATTAAAATTAAGTGAAAAAAGTTGTTTGAGATTAAAAAACTATAAACTTGGAGATCTGACGTGACCAACTTTCTCCATGTGGTTCTTTCAGAACAGGCTCAGTTGTTTTCACAATCGTTTCAAAGTGTTGCTACTGATAGTAATTTAATACTGAGGTGTTAAAAGATTAAGTATTTCTCTATCTGTAAAACTGACAGCAAAGTATATCACAAGTTTCTCAACATTCCTCGTTTAATTTTTTTATTTTTTGTTCTCATTAAAATTACTACTTCATTCTCCTAATATTACGATGTTATTCTGGTCCTATGGAGATTTTATTCTCATAATATTCAGATTTTATTGTTGTACAAATTCATTCTTGTGTCAATATGACTATCATTTTAATATTCTGACTTTAATCTTGTAATTAAAAATAAGAGAAATCTCGACTTGGCCCTAATGTTCTGGCAGAGTTGACCTGAATCAAAAGTCTAAATAAATAGAAGCTGTAAAACATGCTTATCAAACAAGATGATAGACCAAAAATCGGATTAAGCTATAAAATCGATTTTATTATTTATAGATACAAAGTTTATACAGCAGTCTAATATTGCTTTTCTGTAACGGTCCACCATACATTTCATGTAAATTAGCACCAGTGGTTACATTAATGTTTGGAGAGAGCAGTTGGTATTATGCAGCTCTGCAGTTAAATAATTTCACTTTTATCTCACTGAGTTCCATGTATGGTTTAATAGCACTTCTGGTGGTTTGTGTTAATGCTAAACTAGAGGGTTACCTACAACTTGTACATCCTCTGTTTTTAAACTTGCTCCTCTAGTTCCTCTACATCTGCAGGGTTTCCCACAAATGTCCCTAATTCATCATAAACTTTGAGATAGACTCTTTAAAAGATAAAACAGAGCAATGATGTTAAGGTCTTTCTCTCGCTTTGGCAGTCTTTAAAAAAAAAAACAGCTGACCTTTTGATTGTCGAATAATTCTTACATTTCTGTGCTTCCTCGCTTAATTTTTAAAGACCTCGATTAAATTCAGTAGCTTTATCACTCAGTTTAATCATCCGCACTGAAGAGTGTTACTAGCACCTCTTAGTTTAGGTACAGACATTCATTGATCTGAAAAAAGATTGGCTCCCTCCCCGCCCCCAATCTCCTGAACAGCCAATCACCGATTAGGATTGGTCAGTTCCAATCGTCAGGTCATTTTTCCAAGGCCCTTAAAATGTCCAGTTTTCGAAAAAAAAAAAAAAAAAATAATAATAATAATGGGCCTGAGCGACTTAATATGAAAATCTGAACTTGATGCTCTATGGCTCTGAAATCAGATTTTGAACTTTCTGTTTCTAAAACCTTTGTTTGTGCTTTGTAGGGAAAAATCAATGAAAATTCCCCTTCACTCCTGTTCAGAAACTTTTAGTTCTTCCTACCCACTAAAGTGTTGATATTGTGACCGAATTCCCAATAAGAACCTAGAAATGCACGGCACACACTCCCCAATGGAAAGTCTATCAGATTAAGTCAGC